TCATCTAAATTCTAAATTGCCTCCTATACCATCTCATGTAGCTCTACAGCTCATGTATAATTTGCAAGACGTTGGGTGTATCCTTCTGATGCAGGAGATCATGTAGCTTCAAGTCATTCTCCTACTGCTCTTCGCTTGCCTGTATACCAGCCCTTACAGAATTTCTTGACACTGAACAAGTACTTCTGACACGGGGATCATTTAGTTTCTAAAATGTTGTCACCGTGTACCTTTTCATGCGCCTCTGCGACCTCTTCGCATTTTTGTAGGACACCTAACAGATACTTTGACAAGGAAGATCAGGTTGTTTATATATTTTGACCAGCACGTTGCCAAATAGTACGGGACCACTTCCGGCACTTCAGGATTCCTGATAGTCGAGCAGAGTAAACACAACGGTGTATGCTAATTCCAATGCATGTTCACGTGTGCGATTTAAGATGCATACCTCGTGCAGACCCCGATGCAGTTCAGTCAATGGCATGTTGCCTAATAAGATCGGATTGACATGTGTAAGCATGCATGGTGGAGAGTCACCTGTTGTTTTGAATGCACTGCAGCATCCAGGTCCATGATCCAACTATCATGTCTCCTTCACTTTGAACATAGATGAAAATGGGTTCGTGTAGTCAAGGACGGCCTCTTCATAGAACAAGTAAAAAATCTTGCTCAACGTAGCGAAATTGTAGCACAGTTATCACATTAATTGCATCAAATATTATGTGAGGTGAGCTCGAATACTGTATTCAGGTCTAGTTTCACATGTAATTTCCCCACTTTTTGTGGTGGTATTGGTTTAAGTTCTACATGTACCGTGACGTAATATCCACAATCAATAGTTGTTTCAATGACACTAGCAGATTTTCAGCATTCCAATGTATTTCCAGCGACTTTTTTGATCTTCAAGACAACACGAATATCTTCCTTCCTTTGCGAAGCAGAAGTGATCTGATTTTTTCATCAAAATTTCACAAGACAATATTGAATCAAGACGGTGTTCGATGTTGATGAGATTGAAAAGGTTTTGTGACCTGTTCTCGTCCAGTTTAAGCCCTGATCATGTTCAGGCGCCACCGAGACAAGGTCCAGAGATGAAACCTGAAAACACAATGTCGCAAAGAGCTAGAGTGGTAACCTCAGGGATTAGTTATGACTACCTGAGTTTGGATGCACACTGCTTTGGACGTTCTCGACAGGAAATCATATTTGGCGCGTTTTGCGCAATATTTATATTCTTTGTTTTACTTGGAAGTTACAAAACAATCGCGTTATTTGTTTGTTCATTCTCCCACTCTTTGTACCACGTTTATCATCACAGAAACCAAAAGGACCGTTGCTTATCTGCTCGGTTATCTCGAAGGCACCTCTAAGCTGGTCATGTTGCCAAGTTTTCAATCAGCATCTCCGTTCTGGTTCCCTGCGGATACCAGGGGTATGGTCTCTGAGGAGTTCATCCAGGAACCACTGATCCTGGGCGAGAACAGAGTGATCACAAACAGCCACACGAATGATTCTCCAGGTTCACCGAGCCAGCATTTTGATGGGTTCTTACGCTAATAAAGATCCTTGGCATTGTTCTTCGCGGAAACGGAGAAGATTTCGATCTCTCTAACGTCAACTGTTTGACACGCTCAAGAAAATTGACCTCAGATTTGATGTGATGTTGCTTACAGGTGGATAGAAACGAAGAAATTCATGCTAGGGAAATTGATTTTGATCCAAGCAACATTCCATGTATTCAGGATACCCTCTAAGAAAAACAAATTAACGAAGGCACGTTACTCGTTCTTTAACTTGTAAGGGTTATTATCAAACTTCCTTAAGTTCTCAGTATTTTTTCAAACCTACGCTGGGCCCACGCTCGCTGGAGAGTATGACAAACGAGGAAACAAAACCGTCGACAGCGATGGGGGTCCTCCAGAAGGTCTTTTGGTTTCCCGCCATTTTGCTCTCTCTTTTGTTGACTGAAATTTTAAACTCCCAATACAGATGTCAAACAGTAGTACTTGCAAATTTAATAAGTTGCAGAATATAGAAATGAAATTATAAGTCATCTCCCGAGTTAACAATTCATTAGTTGAATATCCTGCCTTAAATGATCCTCAACGACCAGCAAGCCAAAATACGTCCAAATTGGCAAGTTGTCAGTGCCACTGGCAGATATTCCCATTTCACCACCATTCAAAGTGGCGAACATTATAGTGACCTCTCCATGAAGTTGTTTTCTTCTCATCCGCGGTTGACATAAAGTAAACAACATTCATCGACAATTTTCAAAAATTCGCGGTATGTCTACGGTGGGTTTTTGAAGGCTTTATACGAAAATACGACCAGCTTAAATGACAAATTATCGCTTTTTTGTTTAATTCTTGTTGCTGATTTACATGTGCAAACAGGTTTTTGACGCCCCGAAGAGCAGCTAGGACCCCTAGATGGATGTTTCCTGTGTCAGGGGTCAAAATATTTATTAAAAAACTGCGCGACCTTGGCAGGGCGAAGAACTTGACTGGACTTGGGGATAGGGGCAAGGTAACGGGTGATGGTTATGAAACGGACGATCAACAGGAAAAACTGAATGCCCTGTCCAGCTGATGTTATAGATAAACACTAATTACAACTGATGGCATCCTACTGATTGAGAGAGAGAGAGAGAGAGAGAGAGGGGGGAGAGAGAGAGAAAGTGAGAAAGAGAGGGAGAGAGAGAAAATGAAAGAGAGAGAGAGAGAATGAGAGAGAGCGAAAGAAGGTGTGTGTGTGTGTGTGTGTGTGTGTGAGAGAGAGAGAGAGAGAGAGAGAGAGAGGTGGGACACAAAAAAGAGATGGGAGGGAGAAAGGGGGAGAATGTCAGGATTGAGAGTTTCAGAGAGAGAGAGAAGAAGAAGAAGAAGTAGAAGAGGAAGTAGAAGAGAAAGTAGAAGAAGAAGAAAAGAACGGTGGTTGTAATACAGAGTACTTATGATTAAAGCATAGGAAACCAGCCATATTTTTACACTTTCCCCGAAAAATCGCAAACATTTTCACTTGAAGCTTTTTTCTTCATTTGATATAGCCCCAGCTCTTCATATAAATCAGATTAGACACAATGAAAGAGAAATCGAATCAGATATTTAAGGTCAGATAATTCATATTTTATTAAAATTGAAATACAAAACATTGGTATATACATTATTAGTACGTTACTATTCACATTCTCAATTACATACAATGTAATGTAAAAATTTATACAAAATACATTAAAAGAAAACACAGATCAAGGTTAAACTTTGGAGGAATTTTTTCTATATATATATATATATATATATATATATATATATATATATATATATATATATATATATATATCTTTGTCTTATATACCTCAGAAAGTAATTTCAATAACCCCTCCAAGAAATACAACGGTCTAAGGAAATATGTTCAAGAGTTGTGAGATTTATACTTTCGAAAGGACGATTCTGATTTTGGGGTTTCACTTTGTAATTTTTTTCTTCATTTTACCGATTCGTTTGAAAACACCTTTTTAATCATTTGCCCAGAAACACAATCGCTGACATGTTCTATTATGTGCACCGTTAGGGGCTGATGATAAAAATGTATTTATTATAATTCCAGTAAATGTGTGCAACTGTGAGCGCCCTTTTTTTAACGAAGTCTGACCCCGATAAGATGCATCAAAATTTACAAGAAAAAAAAGCGCTACTTTAACATAAATACTCTTACAAACACCGTAAATTATCTAAAGCTTTACACAATATATTCAATAAATACATGGTGTTATCGGAATGTCAAAATGCAACAAAATATCAGAAGATGATTAATGATGTATATGTTCATAGCTATAAGTACTTTGCTACTCAATACATGTTTGCTGGCCATCCCGTAATTAGGAAATTGTTAATTTGCTCTGCGGAATATAACAGAAATAAGGAAGATAGGTATGAAAATCAATTGCAAACTTTTACCATCAGAATTTTTGGTATAAATAGTGCACGCTTAGTACTAAACTTATGGCTTCAAGATGATTCAACTTTGACTAGACTAAATTTGCATCTTTAAACAATCAAGCATTTTGTGGAAGAAACTGCAGCAAGTCATTCATGATCAAATGAGAGTGTGGAAAGGCACTTGAAAGAGAAGTCCATCCTGATATTAAGTTGGTTTTAATAGAAGCAGAAATATTACAAGAACACATCAGTGAAAGTTTGAGCAAAATCCGATTGAAAATAAGAAAGTTACGAATTGTTGAGGTTGCGATCGATCAAACATAAATATTGGCAACTATGTGACGTATTTTGCTGTAGGTTCCCTTCCATTTGCTCTGTACTGCAAAAATCAGAAATTTCAGTCATACATGCCCCCCATGCACCCTAAATACAATTATTGCAAATTTGTTTCTATACAACCCTTGTATGAAACAAATTTATTCCGTCATTATTAACTGAAAAATGAAAGTTTATGAAATTTCAGTATGGAGCACATTGGAGAGAACCTAGTGTTACATAAAATATAATACAACACAAATCATAACTTTCTTATTTTTCGTTATCGGATTTTGCCAAACTTCCATAAATCTGTTTCTCTCATGTTCTGCTTCTATTTAAAATCAACTACATATTAGGGTGGGCTTCCCCTCTAACGATCGATCTCTCGATCTCCCCCCCCCCCCCCCCTCTCTCTCTCTCTCTCTCTGTCTTTCTCTCTCTCTCTCTCTGTCTCTCTGTCTCTCTTTCTCTCTCGTTTTCATGGCTAAAAGTAGAAATCAACAATATGCACATAAGAGAAATATATAACTTATGAATATTTCATTCATTCTTCATGAAAACCAAAAGTTGAAACCAGGATCAAATTAACGAAACAAGAAAGTTAAAAAAAATTGTGTTTTTCTCTCGCAAAGACAATGATATATATTATAGATAAAGACAACAACGTTTACAACATTTTCAAGAGTAATGATTTTTGGAATGACTGTTGTTGCCAGTACTGCTTTGCAAATGATTTTCTTTACTTTTGATAATACACTGTACCCTACTATCTTGAAATACATGTAGTTATCGATACAATACGTTTTGCCAGCCGAATGTCAAAACTAAACAAATTATGATAGGAAAGCCTGACATAATTTACCTTAGTGGCTGGTAAAATTTGTTTTCAGAGACTAATCTAAATATCTAAAGCGCTCATTTATATATATAATCCTTTTAGAAGTTGTACACAGAAACAAAAAATGCATGTTAAAAGATTTTACATTTCTAACACCGCCATGAATATCTATATCCTTTTTTCCTTCTTTCTAGTATAACTTTAACAAATATTTGCACGTCACGGAAATTGTTGTTTATAAAGTCTCTTTCTGCGCGCAAATATAACTGAATAATAAAAAAAAATAATAAAAAAAGGATTTTTACAGTATTTTTCGGATATGAGACTGGGAAATTGAATTAGGTTTATTTTTCAAAAATAGCAACTACCGTATTTTATGTTGATTTTTGTTTTGTGGGTATAATATTCCAAACAGTTTTGAGGAAAACTGTATCATCTCCCCCAAATTTTGAATAATATTTTTTTACAGAAGCAAGCTCCGTTCTGAAGAAGTTTTGAATCTCATAGCTGAAGGTTTCAAGCTAATAATGTCAATAAGTGTTGCCACTGAGTACCATAAAACTACCCTGTAGTTATCAGTGTAAAGACATGATATGACGATATGACGATATGACGCGGTAGATCGCCGCAAATAAGCCGCCACGGTTTTTTGTTGTTTGTTACTTGGACAAAGGACTTGTGCGTATTCACTGAGCTGATATAAGATATAACATTTTACGTCATCATTAATAAGCCGCCATAGATGTGTTGCGTCATACCTGAACAATTGTGGACATACATTTACAACCTTTTCAAATTGTTTTTCACGAGCCTTTACGCTTCTATCTGGGGTCGAAACCCAGATGGAAAATGATGAAATGGTTAACTGTAATCTTGTTTTATTGTCATATTCGATAGAAAAAAGAAAACAAATTAATAACATAAATGTGAATAATTCGATGATTTTGATGGTGTTTGTGTAGATAGACGAGGTTGAATTGAGTCTCAAAATCTTTTCCCGGAAAAAAAACTTTTCTCGTATATAGTATATCTATATTCTCAGAGCGTTTAAAAAAAAAAATCTATACATGCATATCAGAATCCCGACCACAGAGGTCCAAGGAATTGCATTTTAACGATCATCTATCCAACAAAGAATGTTTGTTTCCTCTGTATAAGATATTTAGAGCAACCCCCCCCCCCCCAACAGTTATAATTATGTTGCAGTGTGGCATGCATGCACAATCTGCGTCATTTGCCAGAGTTTAGGGCCGAGTTGCTCAGGATACGGGCGACTCGCTCACAAATGTATGGGCCGAATGGATCCGATGGCGAAATGATTCTAGTTCCTCTTGACTGAGTCCAACCGTCCTAAATAGACAGCCAATGTTTTGCCTTGCGAACAAAAAGAAAGATAAATTATTCAATTTGGTGATTGTAACAATTTCATGGAAACATTATATTAGAAAAGCGACTTTATCCTCGCCAATCAAAACTTAATCAAAATCTAGGGAGGCACAATGGTTGAGTGGTAGAGCAGTGGTCTCGTTACCGGGAGGTCCCGAATTCGAAACCAAGTTAATGCACTAGTGCCCTTTTGTAAGGCATTAATCCTCATTATCAAATCCCCAAGAGAGGACTTAAAGCCATCGGCCATCAGTTTGCTTACTCACATGCATACACATATACTTTCTAAGCAGTCAGGTAAAACAACCAAACAAACGAACAAGCAAGCAAATTAGTAGACATATTTATGTTTTTTTACGGCTCACTAGTGGGAGAGCAGTGGTCTCGCAACTACATGTAGAATGTTCCATATTCGAAACCAAGTCGATGCGGTAATGCCCTTTGATAAAGTCGTAAATCTCTATTGATACCAAATATTTTGGATGGAACTTAAATTAATATGTCCCTGAGGGGTGTTTTACAAAGTTTTACAAAGACAAACTTAACTCTAAGTTGGACTTAAACATTACGGAGAGCCATTTGTAGCCTTAAAATACATATATTCAAAAGCAAACATTCAAATATTTTAGACTTTTCATAAATCTCCCTGATAATTGAAAATAAGAATGATTTGAATCAACCTTTTATGCCTTTTAAAATAAAAGTACAACTCTGTTTTGTGAGTAACGAGTTAAAAGAAACATCTTGATAAGAATATTTACCTTGAATCTTGTGACTTCTCCCTTTTCCCTTATCATATCGTGCTCTGCGCGTGGTGTGATAGCGTAGGCGAATTTCTAGGGATAGAGGCAAGAGATAATGGAGAATAGGTATAATATTGAGATTTTTTAAAGGCAGGGGATTCTACTTCAGATTTACGTATACTGCCATCTGCTGCTCACACTGTCCCGATGTGTGGACAACCGGTTCCCACAATGCATCACCAGCTGCATGATGCGCGAGTGGTGATGTAAGGACACATAACTTTGAAAATGCTTGCCAATAAATTATCATTCGGTTTATACTAATCGAAAATATTGAGTGTCATAATTTTGGAGAGAAAAAAATTGACACCTCCTCCCCAAATCTTATAAAAATCCTTCATATGCTTTTTTCCTTTCTTCTTTTATTTTGTTTTCTTTCTAAAATTTGAAGGGCATAGGAGCACGTGGCACCAGGGGAGGAACACAAGGCGTGCATTTAAGGTAGGCTTATGCCTTATTTGGTTTTAGGCAATACGTCAAAGTTAAGAGTTATTGCCCCTCCCATTTTTCAAACCAGATCCTGGGGGCCACTGCCAGCTGTCAGATAATAATAATAATAATAATGATAATAATAATAATATGGCTTTTGTACCCAGGGTAGCCACCTCAGTACATTCATACTGTTCCCCATGAGGTCTCTCCAATCTTAATCATTACCCCGGCTTTAGCCGACTGAGCTACCATAAAAAGGTGCCCAAGCATTCAAGGAATTTCTTCCTACCAGGTTCCCTTTTACCTCACCTGGAAGGAGTCTGACAAATGTAGATTAATATCTTGCCAAGAGATTATTATTATTATCATTATTTGACCGATCGGGAAACATACAATGACTATAACAATACGATAATGCACAGAAATTTCATAATACATACACACAGCTTTAGGAAAGTTGAGGAGAGAGAGAGAAGGATACAATCTGCTGGTCAAGGGTGAAAAAAGCAATTGGAATTGCTATTACTCGACAGCATGTCACCCCCCCCCCAAAAAAAAAAAAACAAAAAAAAAAATATATATATATATATATATATATATATATAATAATAATAATAATAATAATAATAATAATAATAATAATAATAATAATAATAAATTAAAAAAAATAAATAATAATAATAATAAATTTAAAAATATATATTTAATAAAATAATAATTATGAGTACTATACTTCTCAAACCACTCACCTCTTTTAGACCCGATCCAGGGGCCACTATCAGCTGGTAGACAACACCAATGGGTACTATGATCATAGAGGATGCAGCAAATAACCATGCTAACACGTTACCCCATTGAGGATAGGTATATTCATCATAGACCAGCGGCGTTGATAAAACCATACTCACTATGAACATCACCTGATGGAGAAAGAATTGATTTGAAGAGAATGAATGAAGTGATGAACTTTCTGCATGCTGCAATAGGTAACATTGTTCAGATGAGAGATAGTGGTGCTAAGGTAGTGACTTCAATGCTAAATGTACAATTAAAGATAATCTGAAAGTTTGAGTAGAAACAGACTATTATAAATGATACAAATTGGGAAAAACTGATCTGATCGATTCCTTAATTTGCCCATCTATATTATTAAAATTTAATTACATTTTAGATGAATGAAAATCGTCACAAAGCAATAAGTTGGCTCTGTATACCATTCCAGACATTTGATGAAAAGCCTGTTTTATGTCTTATTTCATGAAAATCGGTTGGGAAAATTCCAAAAAGGTTGGGAGAATTTACTATTAGAGGGTTTCGTACAGTGACGCCTTCAAAGAAAACCATAAATATCTTTTAGTTTGAGAATTTTTTCAGGATTTGGTGCATGTTAGAGGGTTAGTACATTAGAGAGAATATGATAAGTAACATTTCATACAAAAATTACGCAGTTTTTTCATCAACCTTCAACAATGTTACGAGTCACTTTAAATCTCGGACAATTGTGTTCTGAGAATGATGAAAATGTAGGATAAATCTACTTACAAAGACAAAGGTAGTTGAGACGAATTTCCAACAGATCCTCCAGACAATACTAGGAAGAAAACCGATCATTTCTTGTATATCCCTTGCAAACCGATTGACCCCTAAAGTGGAGATAAATAAGCAAGAAATGGCAAAGGTCATGGGTCAACACTTGATGCGATGAAGCAAAAAAAAGATCAGTTAATTCTGACGATTTATAACCCCCCCCCCCCCAAAAAAAAAATGATATCTGTGAACACATGTCAATTTCTAATCATAAAAACTTATCTACTCTCCTTTTTTTTCTCCATGAATATACTTTTATCTTTTTCCAATATTATTTTTAACAGATAAAGAATATTATGTACAGTATACGATAAAGAATCCTCGCAAACTTTGTCGTGTTTCAACGAAGGTGCTAAAGTTTCTAGGAATAAGTTCACAAGCTATGTCTCTCGGGTGTAGACAGAGAGGGCGGCATTTTATATTTCGCGAACCCATCAATGATTCAAGAAAGAAATACATTCTATGCCATGTTGGTATCTTTTGGTATTTCCAGATGAACTATATCAGTCTTGTCATGTTTTGTTTACCTTTCGCTCAGGACCGCTTTAAAGACTCCGTAACTCACAGGTTTGTGATCATCAATATTGTAAAGTTAAAACGACGATTCTGATTGGTTAATGTTCAACCTTTTGAACAATACATGCAGGCAACGCTGATCTCGATGGGCCATAGTCATATCAAAAAGTATAGTTCGGACTGACAAGTGACTTACCATAAAACCAGGCTACCGCAAAAACTTCTATGGCGACCACGAAGAGAAGCGACGTCGACGCAGCGTACTCGTTCTCCAGATGGAAGACGTATATGCCCCCGTATGTGACGTTGATGAGGGTGAAGAAAAAGAAAGAGACAACGATGGCGAGGACCAGGTACTCTCGCCTTTTTTTAAAGAATTTGGGGAACTGGTCGACCAACCCAGTGACGATGGCCTCCGTACCGCCAAACTAGATTGGGATTTAAAAACAAATAGATCATGAAATTCGATGTTTCATTTACTTATAAATAATTTTATAGAACATACCATCCTAAGTGATGGTGGTAGTATTTTTATTGTTCAAATTATTTTTGACCATGATGACAATAAGCATGGTGGTGAGGACGACAATGGCGATGGTAATAGTGGTATTAATAATGATGATGATAATGATGATGATGATGATGATGATTGTGATGAAGAAAAAGATGATTGTGCATGATGATGATGATAAAAATGATGATATTGATAATGATAAAGATGATGAAGACAATGATGATGATGGTAATATAGATTGTGAAGATTAATCTACGTTTTTCTTGCTGCTGAATATAATGATGATGAGGGTGAGAAGGAGAAGGATGACTTTAATGATGGGAATAAGAAGAAGAACATGAAATCAGATTCTAACGTTATACATACCGAACTATCCAGCCCCAGTGTAATGAGCATGATGTAAAAGATAATCGACCAAAATGGCGCTCCGGGTATCGTCGCAATTGCTTCTGGGTAAACTGTAAATACCAACCCGGGACCTGATAAACAGAACAAATTATAATCAATCGTTTAACTTCTCTATTAGTTTCAATCTTTAATTCCCACATTACATAAAAAGTACATAAAATATACATTTTGAACGAAACATGTAAAGTACATGACATCAAAAATTCAACATAAAATATAATAGAATGTTTCAGTTATGTGAACGAATATCGCATTTTAATATTCCCAAGGTTACTACATCAATGTAGAATTACTTATATGCTGATAGTGGCTTTCGGGTCGCCAAGTGTTTTGAAATATATGAAATGTAAGAGTCATTTTATTTGAACCTCAAACTGTTTGATGTACTTTGATCAAAGGCCTGGTATTCTTTGACTTCTTGTGAATGCTATTGCACAACATTCCTTCGGCAACGAGCCATTTTTTTAAATTATTTATAGATGGGTTAGGGTATGAATTAATCAAGGCAATGTTATATTTGGGACACATTTTCACCCACTCGAAATTGAATTGCGTCATCTCGATGCATCGGGGATTTTTTAATCAGTATAGCCAGCCAAAATTAATATATGTGATCGTCTTCGATAATGTAAAAAAAAATAATAATAAGCATACAGAAAAGTTTCAAGCAACTGGACAAAAAATAATAATCTACGCTTTTTGAAAGAAATTTTAAATTGATTGAAATTTAAAAATCTAGCTTTTAAATACAAAGTTACAGCACAGTAATGTATGGAGAGATACGCGTAATATTGACCATATTGCCAATATTAACAGTCTATAATTAGGGCTCGTTCAGATATTCATGACGTGGTAAACGTTGGCGTTTTTTTAAAAACAATTCTTAATTAATGGCAATTGCGCATTTTCCACCTTCTTTATAACAAGCGCGAAACAAAGGTCCAAAGCTAAGTTGACCTTCAATTAAAAAAAAGAAGGGACAAATACCCCGCCGCGGTTTACCCCTCATATCTGAACGAGCCTTAATGGTTTGCATTTTACATTTTAATATTAATATGCATTATTCTTCTTACCGTCAGTCGCAACTTCTGATATTTCTTTACCAGTTTTGTGAGACAGATACCCAAGAATCGAAAAGACTGCGAATCCCGAGAAGAAACTCGTGAAACAGTTAATAGATGCCGTAAAAATAGCATCTCTGTCGAAAGATAAGAACAGAAGGGTTTTATTCATATAAGCAGGTCGATCGTACAAAGCAAAAGGATCAATAAGATGTATTTATTAAGATAATATTTAGTGCTTGAATTGTGCATGAAGATGAAATTATATGCACTTTATCATTCATTAACTATTTTCATTCATACATTATCATTATCGTCATGTTTCCATAGTGGTTCGTTTGAATCGTTTGATGTTTTTTTTGCCTTATCTAACTATTTCCTTCTGTTCAATAGGGGGGGGGGGGGGGCAGGTTAGGAGCATTAATACGTCCAATACATTGTATTTTGTTTTGTGTAAACAAACACAGATTAATTACAAAAGATATTCGAAGTACAGGCAAATATGCCCTCTTATTTGAAGTATTAATTGATCTTCTAAATGTTTGCAACTTTTTCTAAATTGTCTTACCTATAAACATTACTATTGAATTTGTTGTAGCTAGCAAAAGCAATGTGCACTCCAAACCCAGCTCCAATTGAATAGAAGATCTGCACGGCTGCATCTATCCAGACCTAAATAAAAAAAATTAAAAAATGAGAATTACTAATTACAATTTAATTCAAATCTTGTTATCCCAACTCGAGAGTGTTGAGTGTTCTAAAATATTTTGGCCCTATGTTCCTAACGATCTGTCCCGTAAATTAAATTGATCCACTCGCGTGGCACCAAAAATACAAACAACACGAAAATATAGTCTGAAATTTGAAGGTTCTCATCTTGTTATCAAAGTTGAACCTTGGAAGAAACATCATAATAACTCAAGATGGCGCTATACTCTCGACAGGAACAGGGAGCTCGGAGTCGAGATTTCAATTGCAAGGATTATAAGGCGCCTCGGCCTTTCAACACTAATGAATAATGCTATCTCTTGATATTTTTTTCTTACTGGGGGGGGGGGGGGGGGGGGTCGATGATTCCCTATCCCTATAGTTTTACTTATGCAGCTAATATTAAAGCGTAAAAATTAGAGTGAGACACTTACCGTGGGCTGGGCGAGAAGTGCGAAATTGGGGTAGAGGTAATACCTGATGCCTTTTCCAGCCCCGGGGAGGGTGACTCCACGGATGAGCAGAATAGTGAGAACAAAGTATGGGAGGGTAGCGGTCACCCATACCACCTGTCATGTAAAGGGTGTGGTCAACATAAAGGGCGTGGTTAACATAACGGGCATGGTCGTTATCGAGTTCATATCATAGCCATAATAACTGCATAAAAATCAGCGTCATTTTTTGTTGCTGGAGGGGGGGGGGGGGGCTTTGGTCTACATTTTACAAGAAAGAAAATATAAATTTTGAAGAAAAAAAAAATTAAGTGAAGGGCAATTCCAATACACTATTCTACCTTTAGAAATCATATTCGGAATAGATAACGCGTTATTCCTGTATTGCTGTACACCTTTAAACGCAAATTAAAAACGTTCCTTCTGAACACATGCATACATTGTAATTCATCCGATGGCTCCCTAATACATACAATTCTTTTTTGTTATTGAATATAATTGACATGGACAATAGCATGCTCTTATTTATATGGGAATCTTCAATTTACAAGCCTAGCTCTTTACAAAATTCAATCCTATTTCTTTGCAAATATATTTGTCTGATTTTTGTTTAAATACCATGCAATTTTATTCTCCCAATGTTATTCTACCTCTATTATTACTTTCATGCATGGCTTGATATCATTCTATGTATTTTGTACCCATTGAAATAATATTTTTTCGTTCTTATCGATCATTGTTTTTAATTAATGGAATTAAAGTGAATGTAAAATATTAAATCAACCAAACTGAAATTGAAATTGTAATGTGCGCATGTTTCAATAAGACAGTGATGGAAAAGGCTAGTGAAAATTCCACACGATAATTTTTCGAAAGTCTTTGCGATTGAGTTAATTATATTTGTTTCTTTCTCAATGTCTTTTAACACAATTATGAACCCTTCAAAAACTACATAATGTGAATTTACACTTCAGTGAAAGCAGTATCACAAAAGTATTCCCGACAAATAACATCGAAAACGTCTTGCACTCATCGAAATGAATCGTAAGAATGAACAGAAAGCCGAAATCAAACGATAATAAAACGGAAGCTAATCGAACGAGGCGCGAGAAACATTGTTTGCAATTTTGCAGTACCAATCGTCTCTTTAAAATTTTGATCACAACCTGTTCCGCTGTTATTTTTAAGTTTCACGAGAATAGGCCGTTAAGCCCAACGATGTGAATCGGGCCTATGGCTAAACTTTATACTATTACAAAGTGATAAATATTTTTAGGCCTATTAAGTTATTTAAAGCATTATTGAAGGACAAATCAATCGTCAACATCTATATATGTTGATAATTTTTGTTTTTTACGACCTGGCTTCTTGCCTTCTTCAGAATCTTGTCTTTCGTTGTGGTATGATGTTTTGGCTCTTGTTTTAACATTTAACATTGCTTTTACTTTGACGGGCACTATTTTGACACTTCATAATTCATACTCAATGTATGTTGACATAATTATAAACAAAAATGGGTTTGATTTCACAGAAAATACGCATTTAATGAGTTCGGTGCATATCATACTATTAAACTAGGGCGTTCGCATCAATCTTTATTGTAGATGTAATGCAAAACGGAAATTGTGGGCGTTACGCATTTCTTGGAAATATGGCCACGTACACCGTAGCCCATCAATTGCATTTGGCTCTATTTAGACTTTTGATGTAAACCTATCATATGCGCTTGCCCGAAAAATTTTCATGTTGCTAGAATGTTGACATCTTATCATTGTTAGAATGTAATTCGTTATAATTTTCTATGTAGTAAAGTTCGTCCTGCAACCAGTAAAATTACACTAATTGAGATATAAAAATTACAAATAGATCACCTCACTACCCGAATAGTTATAAGGCGGCTGGTGACTGAATAAATGTCCAGTGAATGAATATTGGTAATTTCACGATTATCGGGGGCTGCAGCCCCTCCGCCCTCTCCCCTTCCCCACCCGCCCCGTATACGCTTATAAAACCTACCTTTCCTGAGGTCTTGACGCCTTTCCAGATGGAGAAGTAAAGGATGATGAAGACCAGGATGAGACAGAGAGGCAGTTGCCATGACATCCCCGCTAGATCAAAGAGCCCAGTACTCCGATCCCTTCTCAGCATCTCGAGACTGGGGATATAGAAAAAGAGAGGTAGCGTCAATCAAAATTAATTACTGGTTCTTACCCCCTCCCTCCTCCTTCAGATATTCTGCCCTCCTCCCGGAAACAATTTTACTTGGCATAAAGGAAGAAGCAGACCAAGTTGGCATTAATAAAACTGTCATCTTTTACAGCGGCGTATCCATTTATACCAGGTTGAAGAAATAAATGTCAAATTTGTATTAATGTCTTGCCAAAGGGATGAATGCCGTATTGAGATTCGATCCCTCAACCCGCGGATTAAGAGTCAAGTGAATGAACCACTATACCACGACATCTCCACTCAAATGTGCAAACATTCACACCTAAATAAATGTAGTTCACTAACCGATTTTTTTAAAAATATGCCCACGAATTTACAAAATACATTTTTTTTTTGGGGGGGGGGGGTGGTGGGGCGGCTACTTACTCAAAGTATTCCTTGGCCGGTGCGTTGCCGGTGGAGTAGTTCAGCCAGACGGACACGCCGTCGATCTCGACGTACGAAGCGTTCATGGTGTCGTCGAAACAGAGGGGCGTGTTCCACTCCTTGTCGCAGTACCTCCATGGCAACTCGCCGGTGAAGCTCGCGAAGAGGTAGTAGAACGACCAGGAGATCACGACGTTGTAGGAGAAGCCGACGTACCAGGCGATCACCAGCACTGCCCAACCTACACCTGTGACGGAAAATAGAGATGAAAGAGGATTTAGGATTAATCCATGTTGTTTATTTTGTATCACAAATGTTTTTTCGTTCATCAATTTTACTTCCCCCATATAGTTTCATTCTTTATTATTAAACATTTATTTTCATACAATCAATTGTCCTTGATATCTAACTTTAAAATTCGTATCATAATCATTTATACAACCGATATGAAGATTAATATAGGATTTCCCGGCCAAATTCGCGTGTTTGTCATTCAAATTCATTTACTTTGCATTTAAGTTAGCGCAGATCGGCTTTGCCATGCCAATTATCATTCAATTTTCCAGGTTTTGTATTTGATTTAGGATTTTGGTCGAAGGGTTTCATAGATCTGTCATTCAATTTAGAAACTGCTCAACTAGCATTCAAATTAATATTCACTTGTCGAAGTGTAATTTTTATCATTCAAATTAACACCTGTCATTCGTATTCGTAATATTTTTTAATTCAAGTTAGGAATGTTAGGGGGAAGAATTGCAACAAACTTTACAGTTTTTAATTAATGCAGTTAAAATGCATGATTTGCCATTGGGGTCTAAGCTGTTATTCCATTTATTTATTAATCAGGACAATGCAGATGGGTGTAGTCAGACATAAAGTAAAGAAGGGGCGAAATCAAGGGATATGGCATTTCTGCACGGACATGTTCATATACCTGGGAAAGGTGGGGGTACCCTAAATCGCCCCCTTTTTACTACAGACTCGAAATTTTACAAAAGTAATTCACATCGTCTCTTATACCCAGCACACCCCTCTGTTTTCTTAAAGAGTTTCATAGTTTACTTGCCCGCCAGCAGATCGATTGCTAAAGACATGGCTAAATAATGAATCATGTTCAAATTGTTGACTCTAGTCCCTACCCCAGTCACAATATTGTACCCTTCTTCCATAATAAAATTATGATGAAATTATGATAAATTTATGATGAAACATAAGACAAACAACTTCCTTCCATGAATATTAAAAAATATACTGAGACCATCAGGTCCGTAGATGCAAGTCGTTTTTTTCTTCTTAACAATCAAACTTAAATGCTGATGAATATCAGATAAATCTAATAAGTATAAGTGTATAAATGCAAGAAAATGAAATATGATGAAATACACATGAAAAAACAATCTTGAAAGAAAAAGAATGAGCTATAAAAAGTGTGTAATAAACGAGAAATGTATATTGACCATCAATTTAAGTGTACATAATGCTAATTTGAATGCTACAAATAAATTAGAATGCTAGAAGAACACCGTCGCGTTGTCAGAAAATCGTGTTGCGCCAAATCAAATGACCAAATAGCGAAAGAAGCACATTGTTCATTAATTTGAATGAAACATACGTAGATTCTAACGAAAATTCCATAGATTTGAAAACTGGAAAAGGGAATATAAACCCGAGATATACCTGACTGCACTAAAACCGTCGAATTTGAACGCAAGACTAGTTAATTTGAATGACAAACTCGCGAATTTGGCCGGGAAATCCTATAATATCAGATCAAAATAACTCTATTATCGCAACAACAACAATAAATTATCACACAAAGAGAGAGAGAGAGAGAGAGAGAGAGAGGGTGAAAGAGGAAGACAATTAAAGGTATTAAAGGGAAAGAGAAAGAAATGAGGGGATGAAGTGGGATGAGAGAGAGAGAGTGAGAAAGAGAGAGAGAGAGAGAGAGAGAGAGTGGGGAAGAGATAAAGAGAGAGAGAGAGAGAGAGGGGGAGACTAAATTACAGATGAAAACCTCAACGTGAACATGCACGGTATACACATAAGATTTATGATCTAATTTTTCCTACAATTGAACCCTAATAGCTCCGCTAATTTTACGAGCGCCAGTACCCATTACACAAACGACGACAGATTCAACGAGGCAAAGAGCATGATATATAATGTCCCCTTAGACCAACCAAGAGGGAGTGGGGGCAACCCCTTGTCCCCTTGGAGGAGCAAGGGGGTAAAGAAATCCACCCTTTTTACTACTATCATCAGCTGTTCGATGGAGGGGCGTGATGAAATTTCTTTTCTCATTCTCGATAATTTATTCGAATCTTTATCATGGAAGACATTATGTCGGAATTTTCAGGAGAGGTGATTTCATACAAAGAAAAATTGCATGGTCATACGAAGGGAACCTTGTAATGAATGCCAGATATGGCTGATTAAAACCATGAATTTATTAGCAAAAATCGATGAGGCGCGATGGCCCAGTATGTAGAGCAGTTTGGTCATGTAAACGGGATCTCCCGTGTTCGAATACGATTTGATGCGCTAGTGTCCTTTGGGAAGGCATTCATCCTCATTACCAAGTCACTCGGAGAGGACTTAAAGCCGTCCGTCCCATGCATGCTTACTTTCGTAGCAGTCAAGTAAAGCAACAAAACAAAAAAAATACACAGAACGGAGACAGTACATGCTCCCAGATACAAAATATGTAAAAATACGTTTTTCTTCATCTCCATTTCCTCTATAATCTCGTTCACCTTTTCGCAATGCCCCCTATTTTCACATCCTTTTTTTTTTCTTCATGATTTCTTTCCCTTCTGACATTTATTTCACTTCTTCTTCTCCTTCTTTCAATTCTCTGTAGGCCTAAATTAATTTAGTTTTCATCATCCTATCTGATCCCAATTTATCTCCTGGGTACGGAGTGGCAAATTTAGATCAATGTCTTTACAAAAGGACAACATAGCCTTATTGTGACTCGAGCATATCAGTTCATAAAAAAAGAATTCTTTAAACCTTTCTTTTACCTTAAACCTGTCTAAAAGCTTTTGTTCAGATGATGGTAAAAGTTTGTTTAATACGAAAATATGAAATTTCGATTGGTCTACCAGAGCTCTCAGTGAAAGTCTCAACATTCAGCACGTTGTCAGGTTTCTATATGGGTATTAAAGAAACTGTTATGATGTTGTATTATATATAAAACATTGCGTAATCCACCCCATGCATTATCAATATAATTTGTGTAATACATACCTATATTGGCCCCCGTTCTTCTGGATTTTCAAATTTTCATTCTTATAATACTTTTTGTTTCAACTTCATGGTTTTATTCATTTTTCTGGAACATGACTTTATTAAATATTGCTCATGACCATGATTTTGCAATATACTATAAATATACATGTATATACACTTACATATACATATACATATATAAATTATTCATGTAAATGTATATAATACAATAACGCAGGGAGGAATGACAAAACAAATCTGATTTCCTCTTTCATTCGCTTCCGTTTCAAAGTTTTATAGCCTTGATTTATAGCACACTTCACAATGTTTGCATGGGATGAATGATAAATCAAGGACGTTCTAAAAAGAAGAAGATAAAAAACATACTTTCGAAGTAGAATAGATAGAGAAGGCTGAATATTTAATTTTCTTTGTTTTCTTAATGAAAAGTTTGCGTTTTATACCTGCAGGATCTTTTTTTCTTAAAATGTGTTACCAATAACAAACTGCAATGACTGTCATAAGCTACCGATATAATTCCATTTGCTTGGCTGAGACCAAATAATTATGTGGTAGGATTTGGAGATTTGTTCTCGATAAGAAGTTTATGAAACAGGGCACTGGGCCCTGTCTTTTAAAGAGTTACGATTGATCCAGATTGGTCCCAAACTTCTCCAATCAATCAAAAAATTACAAACTCCTGTATCTTTGATACTAATTGGTCTTTGATTAACATCATGTTTCGATTGATTATGACTCAAACGCAACTCAAACGGAACCCTGATATAAATTGTTAAATGTTTAAACTAGGGTTAAAAAAAAAACTTCAACCTAGTCATTAATTATTCAGCTTTATCGCGATGGCCTGAGGCAGATTATCTTACAAGAAATTCTAAATTTACCGGTTTTTATCGATCCCAAACGGGCTATCAACATTTCATCGTTTTGGGTGTTTTAAGTTCAACACTGTGAATGTTGTTGGGTAGGGAATCTTGGAATGAAGGCCTGTAGTTTGTATAAGTAAGTATAACCTGTAATTCGTTGACAATAATATTCGTGTTTTATTTCTGGATTTTCAGAGTCTTGATGCTAACTTTTGTAATGTATAACACCCCTGCACATGTACAAATTTGGACAGACATTTTAATGCTTTCGCTGAAAAGTAAAATAAATAATTAAACCACGAAAAGGAAAGAAAAGAAGGATTTGTAGTACACAATTATTTGTATGTTCTTATTATGGTCTACAACGGTGAATTACATTGGATCTTCATGTAAACGTTTTCGTACGTTGTTGTTTCTAGAGTTAACCTCCCGACGCACCGTATATCAAGATGGCTGAGAAGAATAGCTCTAAGAAGGTGATTTTACATTGCCTATCGTATATCTGTACTTCAGTCGAAACACTTTACTTTATTTTTACAGTACATTACACTTAATTTAAGTTATTTGTCCGTATTATTTTGTTACTTTTCAGCGTGTATAAATCTGGATTGCTTTTGATGTAAATGTGGAGCAAATAAACTTTAAACTTCAACTTTACGATTCAAGCGATTATTTCTCATTTTCACAGCTTCTGTATAGTACATCAAATAATATCATATTTTTGTGATAATCATATCTTTTCTTTATAGTTTACAAGTCTTTTGTATTTGAGTTGTGACATTCGTTTTAAAATATAGTGACAGAATTTATTACAGTTCTACCCACCAGCCGACTCGGTTCCTAACATTTATAATGTACCACATCCACTCATAAAACATCCATATCCAAAATCGGTTTGTTTTCATTTGTCATTTGACATTTTGACAAATTACAGATGTCCTTTTCTTTTTTCACACTGTCTACATTATTTCCCCAAATCGGAAGTAATATAAACAAATACTTGTTCTATCTTTAGAAAAATGAATATATATCATTTTCTGGAACTCGTATTTCCGAGCAATATTTTTTGGGGGGAATCGAGTGAACTTTTACTCTCAATAAAACGAAATTTCGGAAATCTCAAATTCGT